CAGCCTCAGCAATTCTGTGATTCTGTGATCTCCTGGTACTTCCAAAGCAGCGTGATCGTTGTGCTCATGTGGGGCACTGCCAGGACCTCTGGCTGCCTTTGGTTTTGGAGACATCTGTGTCCTCTCTGCCGTGGCTCACACCTATGCTTGCCCAGCGGGACTTGCTGTTTGCCCTGTTTGAAAGCTCTGGGAGTTCTGTGATCCTTGATAGTAGTTATTTGCATGTGTTAGGCCGGTCTAGAGTTGGTAAGAGCATGAGAGAGATATGGTATCCAGGCACAGCGGAACTTGCGTAGCTTCTTCTGGGTGATGCTGCCCTAAGCGCTGTGGGAGAGAAGCTGCAGTGATGGGCTGGATGAGTGAATGTGGCAGAATATGTTCTGATGGCCCGTTACGGTTTTAGGCAGCTCCTGGTTTTGGAAGAGAGATGCCAGGCTAGAGAGTGATCTGTCAGCATTGGTCTAAGTATAATTCTTTGCACTTAGGAGTGGCTTGGGCTAAACCAGTGGTTTTTAATAGCTTGGGGTTTGTATTGCCTCCAGATCAGGTTACTCAAGAATGAGTACTTTTTGAAGAGATTTGCAGATCATGTGTTTAGAACTGCTAGATTGGAGGCTTTTTGATACATTTGTCTCGTGTTTGGGCTTTTCCTAAAATACTTCCTGGGCTTGTGCTAGTAACTTGGAGAGAGGCTGAAGAGGCTGCAGCTCTCTGGGGGTGATTCCACCCAGCGCCTATGGGACAGGGGATTGACTGATGGGAGTTTCCTTCTGGAAATGCCTCGTAGCAGCACATGGAGCCTGGATAACTGGTGTAGATGCAGGGTATAGGCATATAATTAAAAGGTATTAAATACTCTCATTTGTTTTGTGCTTTTAAATGTAGCTGTTGCATGTTTAGTAAATAAATAAAACTATGAAAAAGCTGTATGTGTAGAATCTGCTCAGTTGGGAGAGACTCAAGATTTTGGTAATGGTAATAAACGTGATTGCTGGCTGCTGCCTCCCTTACTGAAGCTTTTTTTCCCTCTTGATGTTTTTGTTCGCTTTTTGATGCATCATTTGCTAAGATACGTAAACTTATAGCTTGTGGTGTCCTTTTGCTGCTCATATCTAATGTGCTAGCATATGCTGAACAGGAAAATGAATTAACTGCTTCCCAGGATATTTATGTCAGAAACTAACCCCTGAGGATGTCTAGTGTGGGAGGAGTTGATGGCCAGAAGAGCTGGACAATCAGTATGTCGGAGCCTCTGTTCTCTACACACGTAACTGACATCCAGCGCAGAACTTGCTGCTGGCAAAATGGATCTGTAAAAGTAAACCTGCCTCCTTTCTGTGCTTTAGGACGGCCTTGGCCAGATTTCGGCAAGCTCAGCTCGAGGAAGGAAAAGTTAAGGTAGGTGTAAAAACAAACTCCGTAAAGCTTTGTTAGCTCTAACCAGGAGTGGAACGCGAGCCACGTGTGGTCAGAGCTGTGCGACAGTGGGCAGAGGGGTCCTGTGCCAGACACCGGCGTCCCGGAGGAGCGTGGCGTCGGTTCTGTGGGAAGCGGCTGAAGGAGGGGCTGTATCTCACAGTGACACAAACCAGAAATGACCAACAGAACTTTCTTAACTAAATAACCCATTTCAAAATCTGTGCGTGCGCGTGTTTCAGAGGTGTGTCGGCTTGGCTGCCAACAAGAAAGTGAAAATTGAGTGTTGCTTCATTTTTTTGGATGTAACGTGGGTAAAATATGTAGCAACCGAACTGCAGTAATGCTGTGAATAGAGGCAGCGTGCTGGGCAGGGAATAAAAATAACTTTTGAGACTGGAATTCTCTTCTGCAACAATTTATGCAAAGCAATGCTCATACACCTGTTTTTACCAGACAGTAGTCAGAATGTTCGTTTGGATTTCTTCCCAGAAGAGGTCGAGAAATCCTTCGCATGATCTTCTTCGTTGGTAAATTCTGACAAAGCAGTGACCACAGAACAGGGAGCCCTCAGGATCGCGGCTTGCGGGTGACGTAACGTTGGCACCTTTTCAACCCAACGCATGATAGCTGCGCGTGATCGGTTTCACTGCCGTGTTTGGTTTTGATTTTTGCGTTTGGCCTTTTTTTGGATTGCTGTAAAGTTGACCTCAAATGTGGACTCAGCAACTGGTGGTGAAAGGTACAGCACCTCTAAAGCCACACAGAACCTTTGAGACCAATTCTCAGCTGTCTCTGGATTCTCCTGTGCATTTCTCACTGATTGTGCCCCTGTACTCGGCACTCGTGAGACCTCACCTCGAGTACTGTGTCCAGTTTCGGTCACCACAGTACAAGAAGGACATTGAGGTGCTGGAGCGGGTGCAGAGAAAGGCAACAAGGCTTGTGAGAGGTCTGGAAAACAGGCCCTATGAAGAGCGGCTGAGGGAACTGGGTTTGTTTAGTCTGGAGAAGAGGAGGCTGAGAGGAGACCTTATTGCCCTCTACAACTCCCTAAAAGGAGGCTGTAGTGAGGTTGGTGCTGGTCTCTTCTCTCTAATTACTAAGGACAGGACAAGGGGAAATGGCCTCAAGTTGCGTCAGGGTAAGTTTAGATTGGATATTCGGAGGAAGTTCTTTACTGAACGAGTGGTGAGGCACTGGAACAGGCTGCCCAGGGAGGTGGTGGAGTCACCAACCCTGGAGGGGTTTAAAAAAAAAGTAGATCTGGCACTTGAGGCTGTGGTGTAGTGGTTGGGTGTGCTGGGATGAAGGTTGGACTAGATGATCTTCAGAGGTCCCTTCCAACCCCGAACATTCTGTGATTCTGTGTAGTCGCAACTCACATTGCAGGAATATTGATGCGGGGATCAGAGTGTTGCAAATAACTTTCTTTTTTTTTTTTTTTTTGGACAGTTTTGTAATTCTTAATTTTGGATAACTGACAAAGGAATTGTGGAAACTAACTGGGATGTCCTGTGGTTGCCCCTTAAGAAGTGATGTTTTGTGCGTCAGTGTGGGCAACACGAAACAGTGAAGTGGAAAATGAGTTTGGGGAAAAGATTCTGGGAACAACAGCCAGAGACTGAGGTGGAACAGAGTTTCCAGCACAACATGCGAAGGAAGGATTTTAATATTTGAAAAGTAGAGCTGGGGAAGTACCGCAGGGAAACGGACAAAAGAACTGAACGCAGTCCTAGAGGCAGGATGAAGGATTAGTTTGTGTGAGCAAGTCAATGGAGTGTGAGGAAGGTTGGGAAAAAGGTGGTTTGGGTAAACTGTGGTTGGGAGTCTGCAAACCAAAATGCATCTTGGAAAAAAATTGCGTTATTTAGGTGGTAAAAACATCTAAAGTTAAAAAACATCTAAAGTTAACAGCTCCTTGGAAGACAGTGGATTTTATCTAGATGCTTGTATATTGAAAACGATGTAATTCAGCTGAACTAAACGGAGCGTTCCTTGTGTTGGGAATAACCGTGGGGTGTTTCGAAGAGACAGGTGACAGGTTTTGTTGGGAAGAAAATGGATATAAGTAGATTTTTGTATTCTGTGACAGTTTAATTTGGTGGGGCTGTAAATTGTCCTTAGTTTTAGCTTCTTAACAGTTGGTGGGAGCAAAAGGTGCTGGAGCTTGGCAGCACTCTGAGATCGATCAAGCAATAGAGTTTGCATTAAATGCTGTGAATAGCTTCACGCTGGGTTAAAGCTTCACGGTGCGTGGTTTTGTGTCAAACAGGAGCGACGGCCTTTCCTCGCGTCAGAGTGCAATGAACTGCCCAAAGCGGAGAAGTGGAGGCGACAGGTAACATGAAGCTGTGGATTATTTTATTTCTGTAGTAGCTGGAACTTCAGCCCATCCTGTTCAGACAGCCTGCTTACAGGAGTTTTTTCAGGCTTCCGCAGTATTCTGGCAGTAGAATCCCAGGTTAATTTAGATTGGAAAATCAAGGATATATGAAATTCATACAGCACCATCCCTTTTCTAGATCAAAGAGCCAGCTGAGAAGTTGGATCTTTCTAGGTTGGGGTGGATTTTTTTAGCCTTTTCTAGCCCTCCCGTCTGTTTGTTTAAGAAATTCATTTCTGCGTTCTTGTTTAACTAGATCATTGGGGAGATTTCCAAGAAAGTGGCACAGATTCAAAATGGTAAGATTTTTCTAGTTATGTTTTATATTTTTGAATCTCTGGTCCTGAGCAGTAACACCAAAAGTCATATTTCATGAGAACTGAACCATTTTCCTTTCATCAATGGTGAAATTACTCTCGTGCGTTTTGTAAGCTGCCTGATTTATTGCCTTTTCCCCCTCTGAACAGCTGGGTTAGGTGAATTCAGAATTCGGGACCTGAACGATGAAATAAACAAACTTCTGCGGGAGAAAGGACACTGGGAATTCAGGATAAAGGAGCTCGGGGGTCCTGATTACGCTGTAAGTGTAGATCATTTGCTACTACGTGGTTACTCTGCTTGCAAGTAAAGTGACCAACGAGAAAAATCTGTGCAACGCTTAGTTAGCCACGTACTGGTTGCCCAGGGTTTGTTGGAGAGAATTTTATTTAGCCCTTACAAATGTTAAGGTACGTTAAAAGAAATGTTTCTTTCCATGATGAGCAAATCAGAATCCTGAGAGCTGACAGCCATGGTTGGATTTTATCCTTCAGCAGATGTTGTGTTTCTGTGCTCTGTGAGTCTGGGGAAGGGTTTTCACCCGGCTCGTTTCGGTGCTGCTGAAAGTGAAATAATGACACGAACTCTCGCTTGCCAAAACATCGAGTGTGTGTTTGTTGACAGACCCAAGCAGTGCTTGTTTATCTGACCCCTGAATAGTACAGAGGGTGGCAGGTTTGGGTGTTCTGTCAGGGTGAATCAGGTTTGGGCACAGTTGTACCGTTGTTTTAACTGTGACTTGTAGTAAATACAGAGAATATATATAGAGAGAATATTTACAAAAAAACATATATATAAAAATGAGTTGCAAGAGCAATTTACTTGTGGGGTTGTTTGAACTGGTCTAGCGAATCTCCTTTCCCGCTCCTTTAATCCGGTGAGATGCCCAGAAGTACAAGATGGAAGAGGAATACAATTTTCAGCGATTAACTCTGTTTACTTTCCAGCGGATTGGACCGAAAATGTTGGATCATGAAGGGAAAGAAGTTCCAGGCAACAGAGGTTACAAATACTTTGGAGCGGCAAAGGATTTACCAGGGGTCAGAGAACTTTTTGAAAAGGAGCGTAAGTAAATAGCGACTCTTCCCAGACCTGAATCTTTGTAGCACTGCACACTGAGTAACATGCTGTGCCGCGTGGGGAACACGAGTAACAGCGTAGTCCGGCCTAAGATCAGGTAAATGAAACACTGAGCACAAAGAATTAATTAAATGCTGTTTCTTTGGGCAAAGAACACTTTTGGCTGTTGGCAATTACAGAAAAGTAGGAAAGAGTAAACTCTTTTCTGCTGGGAGTTCAGAACAGTGAGGACTGATGTTCTGTAGAAGCTTTTTTTTTCCAGCGTAACAGGTGAACTTTATTGGTAAGGTCAAAATAGTACTCTTGAGTTCTGAATTTTTTTTAAGCAAAAAGAAAAAAGGAAGTTGGCTTGAACGTAACATAGAAGTGGGAATCAGCTTTCGTAATAGGAAAACTTAGATGTAAATGGATAAAACTTTATATATTGGCTGCCATAGAATGAGTGAGAATTACTAAAAGTGAGGCAGGCTTGCTGAATCAGCTCTTTCTTACCTGCCATCTGCAAAAAAACCTATGGCGAGTCCTCCATGGTCTGGGGGAGCACGGGAGAGTTTTTGTAGCTCCTTTCATTTAGTGACCTCGCTCAGTACAGGGGACAAGGGGCCGCGTTCACAGCAGCACAGAATTGTCACAGGGCGGGAGCTCTGCGTTGGGTCACGCATTCAAACTGTTCTGTGCAGGCCAGAGTAAAACCTGAGCGTTCCCGATGTCAGCAGCTGTTTGGAGCCTCCGTTGGGAGCTGCAGCGGCCACGGGGCTGACGGGAGCCGGGGAGGTGGCAAGCTGCCGAGCGGGGCTGGGGAATGACAGTGGTGTGCTCTTCCAGCTCTGCCGCCGCCTCGGAAAACTCGAGCTGAGCTGATGAAAGCCATCGATGCAGAATACTATGGCTACAGGGATGAAGAGGATGGTATTCTTGAGCCGCTGGAACAGGAACATGAAAAGAAAGGTACGTGAGAGGCAAACGAGTCAGTGCCAGAAGGGCTGATGGAGAACTCTAAGATAGAGGGTTTTTTTTCTCTGTGGGTGTTGTGTTGTGTTCACCTGTCAGATCTCATCTGTCACACAGACAGCCAAACCACTGCTGTGTAAGGCGTTTCAGGGTGTGCTTTAGAGCTGGCTGAGGCAAACAAGTCAGTGCCAGAAGGGCTGATGGGAGACTCTAAGATAGAGGGTTTTTTTCTCTGTGGGTGTTGTCTTGTGCTGTGCTCACCTGTCAGATCTCATCTGTCACACAGACAGCCAAACCACTGCTGTGTAAGGCGTTTCAGGGTGTGCTTTAGAGCTGGCTTTCCTCTTTACTACTGTTAATGGTTTAATATTCTCAGCAAGTGATTCACTGTTGAAGCAAAATCCCCTTTTTCTTCCCCACCTTTCTCCTGCTTAAGAATGTAAAAGAGTAGGTTGCAGCAGGTAGATCTGTGGAACTCAAGCAGTTATCTCCCTCCTCTGAGAACTGAGAGTCTCACATTCCTACCTCACCCACTTATGTACCCATAAACATGGCTGTTTAGTTTTCTTGGAGATTAGAAGGGACCTTCTGGAAACCCTGAAGTCTAGGTGGCCTGTGTTCATTTATCCACGTCATTTATCTCAGAATTTCAACATGTCCATGAATAATTTTTCCTTTGAAACTCATACTCTCTCAATAGATAGTATTTATCCACGTTTGCTCGCTTAGCTCTCTAGCTTTGTTTCTTACTGATTTGCTTTGTAAAGTCGTTGGGATTATGAGTTTAACTCCTGAAACCCACTTTAAAATTCAGCACCGTGTGCCATCCTCTGGTTTTGTGGGGCTTTAAGCAAGAGGCCACCCACCACCCTTAAGAGCTCAGCTGTTTTCTGTAGTTCTTTCAGTCCTGGGGAGCATTGTCCTGGCAATTTGTTGCTGTTTGATTTTCCTGTTGGTTTTATGGTCTCTTCTCCTGAAGCTTCAGCTCTGGGCAGATCCTCAGTGCTCTGCAGGAAAAGGTCCTGATACAGGAGCCCCTGGCAGCTCTGCCACAGAGCACAACACATAAAGCAGTCAGGTTTTGCTTGAGTGGTGCTTATCTTTTTGCTTACAGCTCTCTCTGTGGAGTTGAGAGTAAAGCTTTAAATGAAACTGCAGGAAGTGCCTTGTTTAAAGGATGACAAGTTGTTGAGCTTGTACCTGTTATCAGCACTTGCCGTCAGTTCACGTGGTCACCTGCTGCTTATATTTATCGCTCCTCCATGTCTTCCCTCTCCGCAGTGTTGTGCGTTAGAGATCGTGCCTCGTCAGTTAGATGCTAGGACAGGGAGAGGAGAGGAAGGGGTCGTGCAGCACAGCTCAGAGCCTGGCAGCCGGCAGGCAGGCGGTTGGTGATGTCAGGAGGGAAGTTGCGGGGCGCGGTGCTCCCCCAACAGCCGCCCACTTGGCACTTGTCCTGCACATCTGGCTCGTTGCAGACAGCAGAGGTAGCTTGTCTGGATTCACGTGGTTGTTTAAGAAAATGATCAGCTTCAGTGATCGTGAAATTACAAGTCTGGAGATCCTGCCAGAACCAGTAGGTGTGCTAGTGATGTGCTGTTAATGCACAGTGCCCAAGAGTCTTTTAGAGTCACTTGTCTGCGCTCTTGTGGCTTTTTCCTTGTTGTCAGAAGTGTTACATTTTTGTGAAACAAAATACTGAAAAAACCCTCGATTTGGGGTGTCTTTGACACAAAAATGCTGTCATGTGCAACTGGTTAATTGGATCTTGCTTTCTCAGGGAAGGCGTTTTAATATTTAATCTTTGGGCGCCAGGACAATGACTGCTGACCTCTGTTGCTGTAGGCATTTTCTGCTGCCTAGCTGCATTAATCGTGCACCCCGCTAGGATTTTTATACACTGGATATGTCACCAATTAAGCTTCTTAAAACTCATTTTAGCGCTCTTACTAGCACTCTGTTGTGCAGTAGAGATACAGAATGCTAACAGCCCCTAGCTAGCAGCGAGCTACAGAATTGGAATTGTGATACAAAATAAGAGAAATACACTGAGAGATGAGGAAATACTTGTATGGATGCTCACTGTAAGGAGCTCATGAACTGTTCAGCATTCCTGTAGCTGCTGGCATGCTGCTGAGCAGCAAGAGCCACTGAACCTCATCGTGTGAGCCCCTGTTCCTCAGTTCAGAAAGTAGGTTGATACATATCTGTGGCTATTAGAGTCTAAAATATCCCCAAATTAAGGCATTACATGCTTTCGCAGTGCTGGCGTCGCATTGTGCTCAAGCTGCATTGCTGTATTTTGGTTCCACACCAGCTGTGTGTCACCAACACAGAGGATTTGAGCATTAAGTGCTTGAGAAGCTTTGGAAACAGGACCGTGCTGCTTTAGCTTGGTCTGTGCTAAACTTGCCATTTTCCTTTGCCAACCAGTTATAGCAGAAGCGGTGGAAAAATGGAAAATGGAGAGAGAAGCACGACTTGCAAGAGGGGAGGAAGAGGAGGAGGAGGAAGTAAACATCTACGCTGTCAATGATGATGAGGTACGTGATGGCTGAAGTGGCGTAAGGTTGCATGTTTGGGGGCTGGACTAGATGATCTTTCGAGGTCCCTTCCAACCCCCAACATCCTGTGATTCTGTGACGTGGCTTCTACGCCGGATGCAGAGTTCTTTTGCTGAGAAACTGCTGCTGTGTTCTGCCCTTCTCTCCGGCAGCTGGCGAGACTTTTTACTCCAGTGAAAAACCACAAATAGCTGAGACCCTGCTGTGATTTCCCTGTCCCTGTCTGCAATGCTGGCGTTTGTACGGCAGCCGCGTGGTAACGCTGACAGGTTTTGCTTCCAAGCACAATCTCCATCAGTCAGAGCGCAAGTAGTTCTGTGTGGGGTGTATTTTCACCCTGTCCATGTGCAGCAGAACGAAGGGCAGCCAGGGTCTTGTTTGTGGTTGGATCCCAGCGCCAGGAAGAGAAGTGAATGATGCTGCCACCGCTCTCCAAGATCTGTAAAAGGGGTGCTGGAAACTGGTTCTTATGTTACAGTCCCTACCTAAGTGGGTTTATCACACAAACAAAAAGGAGCTGGTCCATAAGGTCCTGTTAATCTTTTGTTGGCAGCATTGCTTATGCCCTACCTGGTTCCTTCTGGCAGAGGAATTTTAAAAGTTGGGTTTTTTTAATGACCTCTTTAGAAAATAAACTTGATGGGTCTTAATTTTCTTTTTTAGTCTGATGAGGAAGGTGGCAAGGAAAAAGAAGGTGAAGAAGGCCAACAGAAATTTATTGCGCATGTTCCGGTGCCCTCTCAGCAGGAGGTAAGATGTAACAAAATCGAGTTGCAACCTGGCTTTTCCAAAACAAAGACCTTAACGTGGAGCAGGTTATCACAGGACACGATAAAAGTGTCCTCAATTTGTATTTTTGTGACTCGACTCTGCAGCTGTTTAATCCTCTTGCAAATGCTGTGGGACGGACCAGAATTAACGGTACCATTGCTGTAACACTTTTGACCCGAGAACCTTCATCAGCGTTGCGTAAATTGGGAAGTGGTGTGATGTTCCGATCGAGATAACCCTGACTGCCTACTTTGCTGTGCTTTTCTGCTGACAGTCTCACTTTCTTTTTTTTTAAATTTAAAGAGATGATTTCTGAATTGCAGTGTTTTCTCTCATAAATTTTTCATAAAATTATTTTGGTCGCAGGATCCTGAACTGACTATTATACTTCAGAATGAAATTCAAGTGACTGTTCTGAGAGTAAAATAAAATGCAGCTAATGTCCTAATTAAAAAAAAAAAAAGGATGGGAACACAGATTTGAAATGGAGGCATCTCATTTACTGGTTCTTTTGACTTCAGTGAGCTTCAGTTGAATATTATAAAAGCTGCTCTTGACTTCTGCCTTAACAGCTCAGCGTGGCAGGTCTTGGTGTCTCAGTTAAGCCAGGTACCATCCTACTTTTGTATTTGCAGATTGAGGAAGCTCTTGTGCGGAGAAAGAAGATGGAGCTGCTCCAGAAGTACGCCAGTGAAACCCTCCTGGCACAGAGTGAAGAAGCAAAAACACTCCTAGGATTGTAACATTTTGCCAGTATGTTCTGGGGTTTGTACAATCTGTCTCAAACAACAGGTTCATGTATTCTTGTAGCAAAGGCTTGTAGCTCTGGGTGCTAAGACTAAACTGGTGAAGCTCTTTCCTGCAGAAGGAAAACCATTGCTTTTGTTTACCTGCTCGGCCGGCTTGTACTTCAGTGCTGGAAAAGATCAAGAGCTGGGTTAAGTTGTCTCTGCATCTTCAGCAACTGTCTGCAGTCCTTTCACTTTGTAGAACAGTCGGTGCAGGCAGAGCCGAAACTGCCTTTGTGTGGGCTGTGTCCTCACTGTCAGTTGGGCATGTCTCTCATGGTGACTTTTGCTGAGCTGAGTCCAGAAATAACTTAATCTGTTATGCCTGCTTAGTTTCCCAGCACAGCCTAGAACCTGTTCGAGGTACCTCGATGGCAGATCTTACGAGCGACTTTGAAGCCGACTCCGTCCGTTCTGTAACACACGCAGCCGTTCCTGTAACCATGCCTGGCTGAATCGCTTAAATGCTGGATATTTCAGCAACTGTTGTAAATACTTCCAACTTTGCAATACCTTGTCCAAATACTTTTAGTAAAACTTATTTACAACCTGATGTCGTCTTTCGTTCTGGCTCAAAGGGTTGTGTTGTTTCCCTCGTTGCAGCCAAAGAACGGGCTTACAGACACCCGTGCCCACAGGGATCTTGAAGCTCTGCAGCCCTGACTGCTTTCAGCCTGTGTGTCCTGTGACAAGAGGCAGGTTTCAGCAGAGACTCTTCGGTCTTACGGGTGACTGACATAGTTATACAGGTCTGAGTGAGTGGGATTTTAAATTGGGCATCCATGAAGTAGAAGTGGTATATATAGTATTTATACTATATAGCATTTAAGGAATATAGAATTTAACAACCAAGTGACTGTACCTGGCACTGCTTACAGCTTCTTAGATGCTCATAGTATTCAGTGCTATCTATTGTAAATAATCCACTCTGCAGCAATCAGAACTTTAAAATTAGAGACAAGCTTTGTCTTGATGTACACCATCAAAGGAAAAAAAAGCCTTGGAGAAGTGGAAGGTACAGCTGCCAAATAAAAACCTTCGAATGAATCAAGACCTCAAGTATTGACAGCAAGCAGGCAACTGACAGAATGAACACATTCTTCTCTCTCCCTGTTAGCAGCGTAGGTTTCTCTGCTTTGTAATAAAGCAGGAAACAAGTACATTTGTGACTCGTAATGACCTGTGTGCTGGGAACTGCCGGCATCTCTCCAAAGCTGTTTTTAGTTTTTGTTGCTGCCCCTTCTGTGTTTCGTGTTCTTGGGCGTAGAGAAAGTGAGGTGCTGTTATCCACGTGCAACTGTATTGCTGTAAAAGACAAAGTCCCAGAGCTCCTTCCCTGAAACCCCTGGCTACCAAGAATGGAAAAATGGGCTCCTTTCGTGTTGGACATGCTAACGGGTGTGTGGTCTGGCACTGCTGGATCAGCGTGCTGTACTTTGCCTCTGGAGAGGATGAGTATGTGAAGGATAAAGGCTTCCTTGCCTGGGATTGACCAACTAAGTCCCTGGAGCTGAAGGAGGTGGCAGGCAGTCTGCTGAGTCTTTACGGTGCTTCAGGAGTGTTGGTTGCCAAACCACAGCGTGACCGGGACAGGGAGACACGACACCAACTGTGGAGAAGCACGCACGAACTCCGAGATGGTGGAAAATGGAATTTGCTTTATTGCAGGCAGACACACATATTTATACTTCTTAGCAAGAAGCACTATTTATGGATTACAAACAAGAGACCAGACTATGCAGCCAGAGTTGTTACCAGCTCATGTACTCCTCCAGTCACTCTCTTATCACACAGGGAGAACAGACTTTCCCAGGTCTGTTTTGATCACACTCTCCCATTCACTCCCAGGCACATCTTGTGTACGAGAAGCCTCTTATCTGTTCATTCTCACGGACAAACTCCCAACATGAGTGATATTCAGCTGGTCAGGGTCTCTTTTCATAATTAACAAGCAAGAGTTCTGTACCTGTTTAGAAAAGAGCTCAAGGACAAAAGTCTTAATTCTGCAACACAGTACTGCCAGCACAGCTCACTGTAAAGTGTATCCACAACCAACGAAAAACCAAAGCAGCCAAAAAGGCATTTAGAGTTAGAGCTCTGTTGTGAGCTACACGCCAGCCACACTTCCGCTAGACTGTGCTTGGGTTTTGTTTGGCATGACAACAGCTTTCCTTCTAGGGGAACAGTGTCTGAAAGAGGAATGCCAGACTTGCTGCAGATTTGCTGAACTATGTGCTGGAGAGAAGCTAACTAGATGTAGAGAGGAAAAACCCAGCTGGTTTTTATAGCCTGATGCAGACTGGGAGTTTGATAATACCTGTGATTCATCCCTTCTCGTCACTCTATGAATCCGTAACATGGGAGACAGAATGGTCAAGACAGATTGGGGCAGAGTAGTAATGGCAAGGCATAAAAAAATAAATGGAAAGAAAATTGAGACAAGATTGTACTCTTGTTCAAAAGCGAAGCTACCAGCACTGAGCGAGGCGGTATAGTGATGTAAACAGAGAAGTTTTTAAGGCAGTGCTCATCTCTGCTGACTGACACAGAAATGGAATAAACACAAAAAATGCGTTATGGAACTGTGCGATGCAAACTGCGGCTGCTGCCTGAACCTGCTGGGCTAAATACCTGCTCTGCAGCCCTGAGCGCTCAGCATTTCTGAGCCGATTGCTCTTTCTGGCTGCCATCTGAGTCAACAAATTGCAGAGGGATTGTTTGCCAGCAGTGACCTCTAGCAAAATGCCTGCGTTGCGCGTGCCGTGTCTGGTGGAGGTGGGGCTGGGAAGCATCTGCAGCCAAAGCCAGGGAACTGATCCTGGAGTTTCTCCTGGAGAAGGAATCGGCACTAACTCGGAGTGAGCAGCTGTACTTGGATATGCGTGTCCTGCTGGGCTGGGAATTCATAGAATCCTAGAATTGTGAGGATTGGAAGGGACCTTAAAGACCATCTAGTTCCAACCCCCTGCCACGGGCAGGGACATCCCCCACTAGATCAGGCTGCCCAGAGCCCCCTCCAGCCTGGCCTGACAGACTCC